TGAAATCACCATAAAAACGAAAGTCCGCATATATAAAGCCGTGATTCGTTCGATCTTCCTATATGGTTCTGAGACATGGCCAATGAGAGTGGAGGATATTAAGAAGTTATGACCTGTCTTTGACCACTCTTGTCTAAGGTACATTTTCTGGGTTCGTCGTGCGATTAGGATCGCATGATCGCATCCACCTTCGTTCAAATACCACTTGCATAAATAATGTTGTCATAGAGCGTTGCCTTCGGTGTTAGGGCATATTCTCCGTCGTCCACCAGAGGAGTTGACGCATATTTCGTTATTTGCTAAACCATGTGATGATTGGCGTCAAAAGCGAGATGGGCCAACAAGATCTGGACTGATACGGTCAGGAAAGATTTTGAACGTATAGGTGGACAAGCAATATATGGACGATGAAAAAAGGAATGGCTTCTATTATTGTCAACAATGGCATCAGACCATGCCGTTTGGAAGTGTCTTTCCCTTGTAGCCGTTGGAGCCAGCTTAACCATTAATGGTGAGAACTGTTAGAAGAAGAAAAAGTGTCGGCAAGCGGTGCCCATAATCCATTCTACCGCATGATTGAAAAATGTAAGTAATGCAGCCCTGACGCATATCAATAAAATATGGCAAAAGGCTGTGTCAATTCGCTAAACATATACACATACGCAGATAAAACGCTTTGATAAGATTGATTCTCTGGAACATTATCGTTTTGCATAATTTGTCAAAATGTCGCCCCGTTAATCGAATCAGCAAAGTAGCGGCAAAATTGATGAAAAATGCAACGGTAAGTTATTGGTACTTGAAACATGTTCCAATATTCTTAGCTTGAAAATTTGATAGCACCACGACGCCTTGGTCCAGATTCGACTTAACTGTTGCGCATTGAGTCTATTCAGTAAAAAAGAAGTAAAAACTTTTCCAGAAACACCTATTTTCTTCGATAATTGTCCTATCATCTTTCTTGGGAACAGTCTTATCACATGTTTGTTCCTATTTGTTCCTTTTCCTACACGTATGAAAATCTCCACAAGTTTAATGCGAAGGTTCAAGCAGCATTTAAAGATTTCAGCCCACAAGCCATCTTCTCCAGGAATTTTATCAAGCTTGTGAATTGTAAATATTATCTCAGGCTCAGTGGTTCATAACTGCAATCTGGTTCTTCAAAATTCCAGTCATAGCGAGAATACCGATCCCAAGCGACCCATCGTAATTATATATAAATTCAAAGAATTCTCTGCAGCAAGGCAAATGATTATTAATAAAAAATTGTTAATTAATACCTTAACACCTTTAAAACGATTAATCAGAAAAAAATCAGAAATCCAAATTTCCGGTATTGATAATGCCCTCTTTGGATAGTACGAGCCACCCACAATCTCGGGCATTTCACCAGAGGCTCTCCTCATGGAAAAAGTAGAGAAGATTGGCTGCGATTCCAACCATTGTTGTTACATTCCATATTAATCGTTCCAGCACTATACAGGTATAATCATATTTCTTTTTCACGCGCTGTGGGTGGTAAGGTCCATCCTCAACTTCGGCTCTTCTATTAAGAGTTCTGTTCTGAGGATTCAGGGGACAGGAGAATTAAGGGTTCTGAGCAATATTTTTAGTTGTCCCTAGAGCAATGCGCTCTTCTATACAGAGATCTCTGACGTTTTTACTGGAATCTGTAGGAGCTTTTTGGTTTTCTAGTTTAGAGGTCTTCTAGTTTTGTTCCAAGTACTCCACTGGGATTACTTTGCTTTCTGCATCTTCAGCTTTCGGCCCTTGGTATTTCTCTAGTTTCTCACATTCCTTCTTCTTGACTTCTATCACTCAATATTGTTATAATTCACCAGCACTGATTTCTGATTCTTGTCTATTACCACAATATCTGGTTGTCTGGACTAGTACTTATTTGACTGTTTGTATGGGGAAATAGCATGGAATCTTCGTCTTTTTATTATCTACGATTTTCTGAGGAATCTCACATTTAGTATTGTGGGGGTTTGAACTATATACCCAGCAAATTGTCCTGTAGATGATGTCACCTACTTGGTTATACCTTTCAGTATATGTTGTTGCTGCTTTCATTTTACGTCCTATAACTATATGTTGGACTGTTTCTGTTTTTGCACGGTCTGCATTTACAATCACATTTACAGTCCTGCATAATGCGGTAGACTTTTATGGAAGTAATGCTTAGCGCTTGCTGCTGTGCAACTATAATCAACGCCTCAATTTGCCTTTTAGTCCAACTTTTTCCGACCACTATTAGGATTCCACAGTATCAGCTATCTCAGTCAATGATGGAATCCATGGAGGGCTTGTTTTGCCATGCTATTTTTTCTGCTTTAACGCTTTCCAATGTCTAAATGCTTTAGAATTTTTTCAGTAATTCATCCTTTGAAGCCATCTTGTCCTTTAGTGATGTTGTCTTCCTTGCTTCCTCATCGTAGTTACCATGTGATTGTGGGATACCAAAGTACTCGTAGCTAGCCTGTATGTCCGCTATATGTCTTGATGGCAGATTCACCCCATTAGTTATTATTACTTTTTTTCCCTTTACTATACACTTCTCTATTCTCTAATGTTTAGCAATTTCGAGGGTTTCTGATGGAGTGTAGCACTTGTCTCAGCATCCAGATACTATTTTAATTTTTTACACCTTTCTGTAATTCTTTTAGCCGGCTTCTTTACGTTCTTGATCTTGTTTTCCAGCCTCATTTTTCATGGGCGGATTGGCCATTTATTCTTCTTGTTTTTACACCCCAGCATTTCGAAAAATACATAGATTGTGGTGTACATCAATTTATTGGTTTCTGTTACAGTGGCATTAAAAATTGTTGCTCTATTTACCTTTGCGATTATATTATCTGGTAGTGCATCATTGAGCCTCGGTTGTCAATCTCGATGGTTAATTATATCCATTTTATTCATGTTTTTCTACCTTATATCAACTATTCCACTTTGCAACGAAGGCAATTTCCAGCTTCCCAACTTGTTGCTTGCATATCTTTTTTTTCTGAAAAATTCTGCGCAGAATTGATTCCTCTTAGAGAGCAGTTTTCATCTCTCTTACATTGAAGTATTTACCCACTAACTGTTCTTCAGTTAATATGGTTATAGGTCTTTTTTCCATCCACAATATCTTCATATATTATACTTTTTCCTTTGATCATTAAGTCCACCATTATAGTAACATTTCATTCATTTCCACTTTCTCCTCCATTTAAAGTTTGCATTGCCCTTTTAACACACTGCTCTGGTCCTACTACAACTAATGCTCTTCCAGTAGCGCACTTGAGATCATATAACCCTGGTCCCTCAGCGTTTGATGCGGATCTTGTTAATTTGGGCGACGTCCGAGCCGGCATGATTCTGGTATGTGACACTGAGGTAGGGAGATAAAAACATCTTGCCCAAGGACCCCACTGGAAAGGCAGAGGCTTAAGCTGAATTCGAAACAAAATATTCCATATCAATCACTCATCTACTAAACTATATAATATCAAAAGCTTTAGCGAATTCAAGACTCTGAATTGAAATCAACTGGCTACGACCAACAAACAATGATGAACTGTAAGAATCAGCAAAAAGCTAAGCAGTGAATTTTTTTCTACAGAAACCATGTTGATAAGAGGAAACGAAAACATTAGCTCCAACGTATCATATATTTCATTGAATATGAGTCCATTTGAAAAATTTAGCCCAAAGACCATTTTCGGTAATTTTATTAACCATAAACTTGTGACCTAGATCATTTATTGTTCCGTTAGCGGCTCGTAGTAGCAATCATGCGATGTGATATGATACAGTTGTGTTCTGTGTTTATGTGTGACATATATGATATACCGCTCATCTTAATTTCTATCCTCACCAAGGCTGTTTTTGGGAACCTAACAATCATGTCGTCTTTACCTCGGATCACTTCACTAATCGGACTATGGTTGTTTTATGAAAAGGACGAAACAGCTCCCTCTTCCTGCTATTACTGCAACCGCCTCCACATGGTTATATCAGTTCAGTAATAGTTTCCGCCGTGTCTTCCTGTTGCATTTCTGAAGTGTTCAATGGTTCGAATGTGCATCCTTTGGTGGCCTTTTCTCATATCCTTCCCCATATCCAACTGGCGAGTACCATGCATAGATCACGGGTTCCATCGATTTCAGGAAACGCATCAGACTATTATCCATCAGCCGTTTTAGTGAAATTATTAAATGTTTATATCATTTACATCGATGACTGGGTTTAAAATGTTACCATTCCCAAATCTTTGAGCTCAGATAGTTGGAGGATTTTGTTGTTTTCTTTGCCAGCTCCAGGCTTATCTTCGCCTAAGCCGTAATATGACCGTTGAAGGTTAGCGCTCTGGTAAACGGCCGTCCAATCGCACTACTATCCTCACCATGCGAAGCCGATCATGTTCGCGACTCCATCCTTAAACTCCACTTGAATTTTTAAATCCTAAAATGCATTGAAAAAGGAATCAGAAATTCGTTTTAAGATACAAGCAATTTTACAGCCATATTGCAAACTTTTAAAAAATAGGTTATTTTTTATGAGTAAGACAAGTGCCTTCGATTTTTATCTTCTATTATGTTCCTGCAAACTATTCTATATTGTTTTGAAGGAAATGCTAAATACTACTGATAGGGCATAAGCCATGAATTTGATGCGAATTAGCAGATAAGGAAAAGTCTTATGGAGAATGTTGGGTTCAGTCGGGCTACGGAAGAAGATGGGCGAGCGGAATGGGCGAGTTGTTGAAGTCGATGGTCCAGTTTGTGTCCTTTAAATGAGGACGAGTGATGGTGCTGTGTGCACTTCTCTCTTGTGCGTTTATGATTTTCTGGTTCCCTAGTAATAGTCATCGCAGCCAGATGCACCAGAGGCGCCATTTGATAAATTACTATTAGGAGTAAAAGAAAGATGAGACTGGGGATTAAACTAATCAGTCGTTCGCCTTATATTGTCACATTAGCAAGCTTAAAAAAAATATGAAAGTATCGACAGTTTTATATAAATATATTTTAAGCGCTGGCATACCGTAGTATTAAAGGCGAGCAATTTAGGAGCTCTCACCATTACTGATTAGACCCGCTCCGCTGGCTTGTCGCATTGCAATGTGCCATGGAGTCCTTGGCGATAGAAGTGCAGTGAGTCGTCTGCATCATCCAGGCGGCAATTAACATGGAATGTTCGAATCATACCCAATTCTCTACCGTCTCTCTGAAAGCTGTCTGTCCTTCTTCGATCTCTCAGGTAGAGGATCAGAGGTTGGTCCGTACCACTCACTGGAGATGAAAGGAGGATATTTTGATAATGATTAAATTTTGAGATGGGCAATTTGTAGGTAAAGATGCTCGTAAAATTGTCTGAAACTGAATTAATAAGGCGGTATTTATTTTGGATTTCATATGATGGTGGGAAATTTCGTGGCGGTGCAAAATCGTCGAGTGGTTTTGGTGCTACAGATTTTCTTGAAAATATCATTAATTATTCATTGCCAAAAGAAACTGCCAATTCGGTGAAACTTCATATTTCTAGCAGGTTCATCTTTTTTTTTCGTTCAAAATTTTCGTCAAATTCTTTCCGATTTAAAGCTTAAAGATCAGGCCTAGTTTAATTAATTTTAATTCTCGAATTCTTATCTTATCTATTTGTCTAATTTTTATCTATTATTTCTAGATAAAAATAAAATTATAAATTTTGGAATGCTTTGCTCAATCGAGTAAAGCCATTTAAAATCGTGGAAACATCTTTAAACTATATAGAAACAACATCGTTTTGTTAACGATTTAGTATCGAATTCCATCAGTTCTTTCTTATTTATAAATAAACAGTAGAAGAACAATAGTTCAGTCGATTCTTAGCAGATTAAATATTTTCGCCATAAAATTTCTATTGTAAAATTGATAAATTTCCATTTTTTTCCAAAATTTATAAAATGTTACCAATTAATTAATTATTTTTTAACAATTATTCAAATAATTAAAATTTTCATTTAATCCACATTCGAAAAAATAAAAATTTTCAACATAAACCAGGACAGATGTGGGTGTTCATGCATCACGTAATGCAATATTGGTTCAAGTACCTCTGCAAGTTGAATTTAATGAACGCGAAAAGATTATGCATTTACAGAAATGGAATGATTTAATCAACAAATTTTATCCAACCTCAATGAAAATTTTAGATTTTCATTCGGTATCGAATGGTTTTTGTCCGAGACGAAATATTTCATACAGGTAAATATGTTTCTTTTTGTTAGATATATATTTATTTAGATATAGATATTTATTTAGACATTTATTGGATATTTTTTCTTGAAATTAGGAGGTTAGCGCTCACTATTTCCGGTTAAATGCTCTCCTTTCGTTGTTAATACGTTTAGAAATCAATGCTAGAGAGCCGATGAAAATTTTAATGATATGTTTGCTTTTGTTAGGGGGCAAAGTCCGCCACTTATTTATTTACTGGAAAACCAGCTAAGTAGGGCGACAGCGTCATGTTCTTGTATTAATAACAACACGTATAATAACCAATAATAGTTTATGATAAAATTAATAATTTAAAAAAGAAAATATAACAAAAATTAACAATAATTAACAATTTAAAGAGGAAATTACAAAATAATATAATTTAGTAAAATTCGAAATAATTATATATAATCGGATGGTAAAAATCGAGATTTCACACTTCCCGCATGATGTGAACTTTTTAAATAATATCGTAAATGATATCTACTAGTAATTAATAGTACAAATAACGAAGTCATAAGTCCTTAGTTTAGTTTTACATATAGGTTTTAGTAATTTTATCCCATTAGTTCTTGTTGGATTCGAATTTAGCCTAAAATTATAATATTTTGAACAATCTAGTTTAACACGATCGTACAGAATCTTATAAATATAAATTAATCTTTAGTTCGAAGAACTGAAAAAAAATCCAGGTTGTATTGCAGATGTTTTCTTTCATAATTAGAACTGCTATTAGGAGAGAGGCGTCGTATAAAATATTTATGGAATCCTTTAATTATTTTATAATTACTTTTGAAAAGAAAGCGTAATTTGCCTGTCATATACCCATTTGGTTAAGCTCCTCCTGCAGTGAAGATAGGAAGATAGGTTATCTGCTCTACAATCATCACTATTAAGATAAATGGTATAATTTAGTACCACTTTGTTGATATTATTTATATGTGATAGAAAAAATGATGGCGCAGTACAATTACCTTGGAGAACGCTGGATTTAGCAGGTGTCAGAAAGAATGTTGTTGACACATAGACAACGATTTTTTATGTAATGTAACACCCAGTTACACAGGTCCCCTGTATTGCCATAACAATAACTTGCTATGGGAAGCAGTATCAAAAGCTTTAACCAAATCTAGATACACAACTGATACTGTTTTTCCACTGTCAATTGATGCTGACCAGTCGGAAAGGTTTATCAATATTTAAAAGTGTGAAGAAGTAGATTTTTTCGTACAAAGCCATGCTGATAGGAGGATATGAAATTGAGGCATCAAGATAAGTAAGCAATTTGTTGCAAATCGATCTTTCGAGTGTTTTGTTACTAACGCATATTAGGCTAATAAGCCTGCAGGTAGAAGGATCACAAGGGTGACTTCCTTTTTACTGTCGCTTACTGCTTGAGATGATTCTTCAATCGAAATGATTTTCATTTCATTTTTTTTCTATCAAGACGAATTTCAAACAAGTTTTTGCTTGATGGAGGGAAATTTGAAATAGTTTTTCATAGCTTGTCGTTCTTTATTTATTTAGATAATTTAATCAGATTATAAAAATTTATAAAATTTTGAAAAAATGAAAAGTTCACTTAAAAACTGGAAAAAAATTCATTTTAGGCGTTATAAATATCGCCTTTGTATAGCAAAAAGTGAAGAAATTTGGGAAAGAATACGTATTAAACCGTCATTATTTGTTTTTGCTGAAAAAAATTATGCTTGGTTCCTTCCTCAAAGCTTTGATATAAAAAAATGTGAAGAAGTTTGTAAACTTTTCATTGTTAGTTTTCTTCCAAATCATCTTTAATTTTTTATTCTTAAATTTTTGGTTAATAAATCTTCAAGTGTTTTATTAATTATTCATTTAAAATTTGAATTTTTTTCGAGAGAAAAATTCTATAAAATTCCTAATTTTATAAATTTGCTGCGATTATTTAAACATAAGATTTTAAGTAATTATTTCATTATTTCATGGAACACATAATATGGCTTCATTTATGAAATATCCACGCAGACAGGAATTAAATGAAGAAGAACCGATGTGTACGATGAAAAATATGTATTTACAAATATCTCTGGGTTATCTTCTCGCTTCATTTATATTTTCATTTTTCGTGAAATGAATATGAAATAAATAAATTCAAGTCTTTTTACTTCATTTTTTCAATTTATGAATTAATCATAATTTCAGGAAATAGTGAATTTATAGAAAATAATGATGATTTCGATTTTTACGATATAATGATCATTTCTCGATCATTCTTGCGTCAACAAGTACGATTAAATTTTATTTATTTTGCAAATTTTTATCTATTTATCTATTTAATTAATCATTTTATATTTTAGTTACTTATTGAACAAATTTAGATCCGTCGTATGCTTCAAGTTATTGCTACTTATTCTTGTAATAATATATCACAAAACTCAATCGAATGGTTATTAAGAAATCCTCATCCAAGAAATTTTATTGAAATGAAATTAATATCTGCTCCACCGCAAGGATTATTTCTAGATGATGTTGTATATGATGAAAGAATGTTCCTTAACCCAATCCCTTATCATTATGTACCTCCATAAGATTTTCTTAATTCAGTTAATTTTAACTTCAGACTGTTTCTCTTATTATCAGGTGTATTCGCGCGATATTTTTCTTTCCTTTCTTTCTACGATTCAGCTCCTTTCTGATTTCTCTCCAATATACATTTTTTGCATCAATTGAAGAACGTTACAAAGGAATTATCAAAAATGCCTATAAATAGGATATAACCATTTCTGACGTATTAAATCTTTGATAAAGAATTAGGATAAAGAATTAGGTAATTGCGTTCAGTTTCATAAAGGTCGTCCGCTTCTAAAGGTCACCAGTGCTTGATAAGTGCGAATTTAGTAATGTGATGAATAATGTAAAAATGTGAAGCATCAAAATTTTTTTCCCCGCGTTTACCAGTCGTTTCATTTTCTTTCGTAAATTATAGTCCAAATATTTTTCTTCGAAATAAATCCTATTTTGCAACAATTTAGAAATTTCCGCAAGATTTAAGAGACGATATAATGGAGTGGACAAACCGATAGGAGATAGGAGACACTAAAAGATCCCTGTAAAAGTTTCTGAACGGTCAATATAGCCAGCCTAGCGAGAAATGGAAATGCAACGCTATCACTTCCTTATTTAAGGTTTGAAAAAGCTTTAGCTTTTCACACTTATAGTTCTTTTAAGAAAATTGATCCAAAACAATTTTTGAATTAGTTAACCTCAACAAATGCCCTGAGCAATAAAAGTGATAGGATCAAATCAACAGCAAAACGATCCTATGAAATAATTTTACAATGGGCTGAGACTTATCGATTGTTATCAACTACTGGCTGGTAACAATTAATCTATTTGCAAAGCTCGTCCACGTTCCACTTATTGCTTGAACATTGTTGATTATTGAATTTTAATTTAAAATACATTGCAAATATTGAAAAATGATTAGAAATTTCCAAAACTGATAAGAAATAATTTTTTTAAAACAAAAAGTACTTAAAGGATCATGTAAAACGCCAAGAAGCGCAACGTTGGAACGAATTCTTGAGGCTGAATCTTACATAAGTTAGCCGTATTTGGCCGAGATATGCCGTGAGCGTGAATGATGTTTCACATTTTGTAGCCGAATTGTTGATGTCTCCTCTCTTTTCAGTATTTCGGTAGGAGGAGGTTTTTCTATTGTTTATTTCTCTTTTTATATTTTATAAATTTATAATGAAGTCGGTGACTTTTAAAATATTTTAATTTTGGCTCAAGAACAGAGAAAAGTCTCGTTTTTAGGTGAATTTATTTAAAATATTTTAAAAACTGACAAAATTTCTTCGAAGTGAGAAACCAAAATAGTTCGAGAATTTCATAAAATTTCATATAAATATGGAATAGTAAAAAAGAGCTCGGAATGATAAGCGAAGCACGCATTGTTCATTTTCAGCTTTTTGCCTCTTTCAGGTTTAATTCTAAGTTAAAGTTGGTGCTAAATTCGTTTTCTTCCCTCTTTTCTCAGTTTTTAGCAATTTTTCTGTTTATTTAAACAGCTCTTAAAAGTTCTTTTTGTTAAGAATACAGTTGGTTAACTTTCACCGTTTCTGGTTCGCTCCTCTTATTTTGTTAAAATGGCGAGAAATTTTTTTCAGAGAGCCACAGCCATAGAAGTTCAAGCCGAGATCCTTAGCTTCACCCGGCTTTTCAGATGCTTCTGTTGGAGGCAAAGGCGCTCTAGGAGATAGTTTATAACCACGCGGCTGCCCTGCCTCCAATAACGTCCACGTAAAGTAATAGATTATTAAAAGTTATTTTAATTTTTCATTCATTCATTCATTTTATTCATTCGGTCGTTTTTCCGTCATTGAATTTTTTGGTTTGATTTGTTTATTTTGCTTCTATTTTAAGAGCTCATACTCAATTCTACACTGGTTAACTTCGAAAATTGTTCTAAAAATGTGTAGTTTTTGCCGATTTCTTAGTAGAAATTATAAGTCTGTATAATCGGGTTGGTAACTCGCACTCGTCGTTTTAACAGCAGTAGTTTTTACCTTCGCTGGAGTAAATGATTAAAAAATCTGCGTGGTGCTGGCTGTCATCTATATCTAATGCCAAGTCATTCCTTGTAAAATTTTTTAGCATTAGAGTGAGCAAAAGAGTGTAAACAGAAGTGATGTCCATTAAACACTTAACTTTACTTGTTGGCTGTTTAACCTATAATTTATTTTTTAAATTTGTATTAAGTTTATAGATAAATAAACTTTTTGTTTTAGCAGGTGTTTTTTCAGTCTTCTTTTCGCCTTATTTTTATATAAAACTTAGAAACCTATTTTTGTATAAAACTGGTGATATTAATAGTTTAGTCAAAAGTGGGGCCACAGTTTTCTATAATTATTTTATTCAAATCTATATTTATTCAAATTTGTTTTTGGTTTTTATATGTTATAAAACTTTTCCTGATTCCTTTGCTTTCGATTTCTAATCTTTATCTTATTTCCCTATATTTTTATTCTTTATAACTGTTGGGTTTTCGGCATTGTGAACATTGCTAGCATGCTTATCTTCTTTGGGCAATACTCATGCTCATATGGTGCGGACAAAAATTGTAACCAGTTGTTTTTGAAATAGGGGCGATTTCATGGTTAAAATTCTTATTTCTTATAATCTACCATCAAAGAAAAATAAATGAAGAAGCCTTCACTTATCCCAATCCATTCTATTACTGCTGAGGTTAAGCTCGGTCGGCCAAAATGCGACACTTTGAAATGCTAAATATAGATTGTCATTTGTAATGGGTTGCCTCATTTACTTTGCTAAGAAAAAAAATTTTGTTTCATTTCATTTTCCGCATAAAATTATCTGTAAATTTGTTGCATTATGATTTTGAAATTATTTCATTTGACAAATACACAATATTTTAATCATTTATTTTCTATCATCATTTCTTTATTAATTAAATGTTTTATTTTTCAGGGTATTTTTTAGATATTTAGACAGATTTTCGTAATTTGTTTTTAACAATATCTATCTTTTTCTATTATAATTATTATTTCCTATTATTTCTAGCAATCACTCAACTTTTATAATAGGTTTGTTTATTCTTAGATCCAATTTTTTCCTTTTTTTTTAATTTAATTATTACGAAAAGTTCGCAGAATGAGAGAAAAGAGAGAGAATTTTTCAAGGAATTTTTTATATCTAATGAAATGGTTTTTTTATGCTTAAATTCTCTTATTTTTATTTCCATTAAAAACTTCGTTTTTAGAAAAAACTTTTTAATTAAACAATGTCACAAGAAATTATTGATAATGCAGAAATGAATGATATTAACGAGGCTGCTGAAACCACAAAAACAACTGGAAAGGGTAATGAAGATAAGTAAGTTTTCCTATATTTTTTCAGCTTATCTTGTTATTTTGTTCTGGAAACAAATTTTGTTTTACTAGTTGAATATTGCAGAAAAATATTTGTCGGTGGCATTCCATTTGATGTAACAAATGAAGGACTCGCCGAACATTTTTCTCAATTTGGAGAAGTTGCACAGGCCCAAATAAAAATTGATCGCGTAACAGGACGTTCTCGCGGTTTTGCTTTTGTTGAATTCGCAACTAATGAGGCTTGTAAAGCCGCTTTAAATGCACGTGAACAAATTCTCGGTACAAAGACCGTAGAAGTTAAACCAGCAAAATCACGAGAAAATAAGAAAGTTTTCGTTGGCGGATTACCAGCCGAGACCGCTGGTATATTTTAATTGTCGTGAATTTGGTTTATTTATTATATTTTATTCATATTTTAGCTTATTTTTCATGCTTTGTTTTGCTTTAAAATTTCATTCAGCTTCTTTTAGAAGAGGAATTGCGAAAATACTTCGAAACTTTTGGAAAAGTAGAAGATATTGAATGGCCTTTCGATAGAGAAAATAAAATTCGTCGTAATTTCGCATTTATTGTTTTCGAAGAAGAGGATTCGGCTGACCGCGCATCCAGAAATCCCAAACATACATTTGGGAACCGTGAGGTTATTCCTTTTTCTTAGATTTGTATGCACCCAGTTAGGTCATTCGGAATATGGAAATACGTGTGATGATATCAATTTATCCTTTTTTTGCTAGGAAATTATCTTTAAATTCCGAAAATTAATTATTATTAAATTTCTTGAAGTACTTACATTTCGTAATGGATTTTGAAACTTTAGTGCGATGTGAAGAAAGCGGTTCCTCAGGGCAAACGGTTTGCAGTTGGACGAGGTGGTAATAGTATGCGTGGTGCTTATGGTTTAGGTCGCGGTATAGGCGTTATTAATGGATGGTATCCGCATGCAGCATGGAGTCAAATTAATGCTTTTGGTGCTTATGGCACTACTGCTGGTGGCTGGGGAGACTGGTATAATAATCCAGCCACGACTGGATTTTATCAGCAAGGAGCTGCAACAGGCTTTACTCCTTATGGTTTGTTCGTTTTCTGAATGCAGATGTATTTTGAAATTTGATAACTTTAAGTAGAAAAAATTAGGTGCTGGAGGCTATGAAACATTTCCGCAAGCTCAAACTTTGACTGGACAACGAATAGGCAATCAACAACGCGTACAACAACAACAACAACAGCAGCCACATCAACAGCCCCAGTATTGATATATGTATAAATATAATTCTGATCCCATGAGCAACAGATTCTCCTTATTAAATGCTTAATGCTAATTTTGCTTCTTTTTATAATTTAGTTTTATATTCTTAGTAATACGTTAAATAATTTGTTTGATTGAAACTATCTCTAAAATATCCCTCATAATGGTTTGTTTGTGAACATTTTATCATCGTCTGGAAGCGCTAATTTTTTTCGAGGTAACTCTGTTTCGCCATTAATTTGCAAGTCTATCCAGCAAAAATCGAATACTAATTAGAAAAAGACATCGAAAAATTGATATAAACTTTTTGACTATAATTTTTTAAAATTTTTAATAATTTCCGGGGGACAGCTATTACTCATTAAATCAGGGACATAAGTTTTGTTATAAATTTTTTAGCAAAGTTAATAGTCATCTAAGAAGCAATTCTTACCATTCAAAAAAAAGATTTTTTCCTTAAATAATTCTGCTTGAGGAATGGTTTCTTTTTTTTATACCAATTTGGCCTAAATATGCGAATCGTGAATTTTTGTTGCCTTTTGTTTAAAGAAATTATAAAAAGTCTTCCATAAGTTTTATCGGCCATGACTTGCAGTGGCAGTTCATCTTGGATATTCGCCTATCTAAGGTTTTGTCTTTTTTGCTAATCCAAGAAGGTTTGGTACTGCATATATTGTGTAGAGGGCCTTAAGCATTGTTAAGGTAATAAATATATTGTTGTCTTCTGTTAATTTTAATTCGATTGTTTCGAAATTCTCGCCTTTTATGGATTGTTAATGGACAATTCGTAAAATAAATTGAATTAACCAATTTTTTATTATATTGCGGTCTTTTTGTTGAGAATTACTTCGCGAAAATTTTTTTCGATTTTTTTTCGTATTCGGCTTAAGCGTGTTACTTGCTTATTAGTAAATTTTCGGGTGTAATAATAATCACAAATCTTTGTTTTTTGGAGTTTAGTGCGAAGTTGCCAACATATCATTTTAATGCAAAAACTGATGAAAAGACTTAGATTTGTCTTCTATTTAAATAATTTTTGGTGAGTTGCCAGTGGCATTTTTTAATTCTTTATGGAAAATTTCCTATTCAATCCAGCATATTTATTTTTGTTTTAAGTTGTATTGCTAGTTTTATACGGAATGAAAATGCTTCTGCTGTAATAGTTGTAATATTTCAAAACTTTTACATTTCCCCTCAAGTCCTCTGCCCATTATCTGTCGCCTTAAATTTTTATTTCGCAAAAAATTCACTATAACTACCATTACTGGTGTATGGGATTGATGAAAAAAGAATATGTTCCGATCATCATTCACTTGTTGTTCTTTCGTGATCAGAACTGTTAATTAGCATTGTCAATGTATTTGGGGAATAAATATTATATATTTTTGTCAAAGATTTTTTTTGGTTGAGGCTTCGAGACCTTACAGTAATATTCGTGAAACTGTGGTTAGTCGACAAATTTTAAAATAACTTTTAATCAACAAATACTGACTTTCTAAGACATTTAAGTTTTCCGCCGAAATGGAATTATTTCATTTCGGCGGAGCATTTATGGCCACTGAAATAATATTAATAATATTAATATTTAATATTAGTATTATTATTTAATATTATTAACAATATTAATATTATTAATATTGTTAACAATTGTTAATAATATTACAATAATAATATTAGTATTTAGTGATAGTAGTGATAGTAATGATAAGAGTTGTGAATTCTGCGATTAGACGGTTTGAATTTAAATAAAGTTCTTTCATTATAAGTTATTATTGTTTGAAAATTTTTTTTGAAAATTTTTGCAGTGCTAAATTCATGCCTTTTTTTTAGGATGACGCAATCATTGGAAGCATTTATGAACAAAGTTATTTCGGTGATAACTGGTGATGGAAGAAATATTGTTGGTCTTATGAAAGGTTTTGATCAAACTATAAATTTGGTTTTAGAAGATTCGCATGAACGGGTTTTTAGTGAAGAATCTGGTGTCGAGCAAATTCCTCTTGGTTTATATATAGTTCGAGGAGATAACGTGTCAGTATTTGCATTTAATTTTAATTTTGAATTCATTTAGTATAATGGAACAAAAAGTTACAGAAAGTGCAAAGAAATATTTTAAGTGGATATCAAATATCAAATACACTGATGGGTATTAGTGGTTTTTTAATAACAGTTTGAGCACTACAAGGCTTGAAGTGATTTTAAAAGGCCATTTTTTAAAAGACCAAAGTGAGGCAGGTTAAAGGTCTATAAAGGAAAGAAAGGATGGAAGATTTTTTTAGAAAAATATTAAAAGCGAGGGAAAAAAATAAACATAAAAAAATAAATGAATGTGAAAAGGAAAGAATGAAACCTCGAAAAAGAAGTATTAGTGAAATATAGCATGAAAAATTATTTCAGGTTGCAATAGCGAGTAAAATATTTCATAGATTGCAAATTTCGTTTTCTTTTCTGAAATTCGCATGTTTTATTGATGAAAATTTGAAATAATTGCGTTGCTAATTTTTTGCGAAAAATTTTTTTTCAGAAATCTTGTTTTAGAGCGGTCGTTGGTGAATTGGATGAAGATTTAGATAAGCGTTTAAATTTTTCAAAAATGAAAGCTCCACCGCTCGGACCAATTTGGATTCAGTAGTTTCTTCATCTAATTATTCATATAAATGGCTATAATTATTTATTCATATAAATGGCTTTAATTTTGGTTCTTATCAAATATTGGAACAAACTGTTTGAAAAATAATTTGATGATTTTATGCATTTTTCGAAAATTTTTGATAATATGCATAAAAGTCGATAATGCGATTCCATTTAGAAAGAAATTTTTTTCCAAAAATTTAAAATTAAAAAATTAAAAAATTTGTTTATTCATATTACTTTATTGATTGCTGCCTTCGTTTCTGTTGTGATTATTTTTAAAAATAATTTTTATTCATTTCTTGGTCCATTTAATTAATTTGATTTGTTAGTTGTATGATACGGTGTTGATTCATGAATATCATTTTAAATGTTTTCGTACATTAAGATTTTTTTATATTTTAATTTTTTGCTTTTGTTTTTTGGTATTGTTATTCATATATATTTCTTTTTTATAGAATATTTCACGAGTATACACTATTTCACGTTTGTTTGGTATACAAATAAGTTTTAGAAAATGTAGGGTAGGTAAATGTAAATGTATAGTCTAATCTTAAAAATTACTTCTGGCGATATTTATTTATACTTATATTAGTTAACTTTTAATTATTAGTTTTTTAAAAAATTTGTGGATAGGTCAAAAGAGTGGCATTTTTGATTTTTCTATGAGTGAAAAACATTCATCAATTTGGGTTGTTTTTTAGATTAGTTTTTAGTGGATGAAGCAGGAATGATGAGATATATAGCACTGGCAGAGACGATCACGCTGCTAGCAGACATGGTTTCAGTGTGAAGACGAAAATTCGAGCAGTGGTCACCTGCGAAATCATTTTTTTTAGTTATTTGTGCTGTTGATTTTTCATTATTTGTTCAGCTGAAGATAAAGTCTTTAAAACGTTAGCAGAATAACTGTCTAAATGTTTAAATTCATTGGAAATACCTTAATGTTTGCTTTTCGTTCAGTGATGATTGTTTAATTGCGCGAAAATTGTTTTTCTTGGAACGTTAGTTAGCGTGGAATATTAGCGACAATGAGAAATGGGGAAATTAAAATAATTTTTAGAAAATTTGAGAAGGGATTTTTAAGGACTTTAGGGGTAAAACTGTTAAGTCCGAAATCAGGTTTTGGTTTTTTTTCATTAGAAAGTTTCGGTTAGTAAAACGAATGAAATAAGTTTTTGCAAAATTTTGTGAAGTATAATGAAATTTTAATTTTCCAGAAATTAATTTCAATATTTTACTGTTGGTTCGCAAACCTACTCCATGGTATTTTTTAAATTTTGAATTTTTTTTAATTTTCACTTAATCTTGAAATTTTATTATTATTTTATTATTCTTAAATTTGAATGTATTTGAATTTGGATTTTAAAATTTTAAAATTTTTTGACTATTTTTGCGTGAATGAAAATGAATTTCCTTAAATCCATTTGATGATAACATATGGTATTTTAAATATTTTGATAATCTACAGGTTACTAAGACTAAATAAATTTTGACCACAAGGCAGAAATAGAGTTTCCTGAAGATCGTATAAGTGAATCCATCAAATAAATCTTTATCATAACGGTTACTAATGGTCCATAAAATTTTTTTAATTTGTATAAAAACAATTTTTTAGGAAATCGATTTCTTCAGTGATTTATTGTGCGTTGATGAAGAATGCGAGGATGTAATAGTGCAGATCTTTTTATACATATTTTTCATTTGTTTTATCACTGAATTTTTTTGCTTAAAAATTCTCCAATTTTTTAATTTCCTTCTAGTTTATTATTTTAATAGATATTTTAAATTAAAAAAAGTTCAAAGGAATGTTAGGTCTTTAAAATGGTTTTGGTTGAATTTATATAGTTAGAAAATTATTTTCAGAATGAAAACGTTTCATATTCATCGATTCATACTGCAACTTCGGATGATTCTAAGTGTAAACATAAACATTCTGATGATTCAAACAAACAAGATTACAACGATATTGATGCGATGAAAAAAAAATGGGTAAAATTATTGGAAGAAAATGAGGAGGAAAATTCGTTGTGGGAGGAGATTGATTCATGTATGTTATTTCCGCATTTTAGTATTTTTAAAGATTTTATTGTTGAAACTTCTAAAATTTTATAGAATAGAAATTTTTTCGTAAGGTTATATAATTTTATAAGGGATTGAAAAAAGTGAAAGTTGCATTGGCCGTGTACTATACTGGAATAAATGATTTTAGGTGAAGATGATGCGACAAACCATTCTATTGACGCAAACGAAATAAAAGATAAAATTTTGCATGCAGATATTAGACCGATATTCAAGGGAGTTTACAGGTTGATTATTATATTAAATTTTACCTTATATGTTGCTTAGGTAGAGACTGATTTTTTTTTTAAATTTTTTCATCTTGCACAGGATCTTAGGATGTTCTTATCCTGTAGAACGAATTTATTGCCATAATTTTTCCTGAAGGAAATGCGCCATACTATCTATTGCACATTTATTATTTATTTTCATTGATGCAATATTTTCATTTCATTTGACTGCGGAATCAAAGTAAGTGTAGAATGAAGAAAAGTATTTTTATTTGTACTTGTCAAGAAACAAATGATCGCATGGTATATATCTTTGACTGTGGCTATCACTCGACTCCTGTCCTTTGATGTGGTTAAGTCATAAAAAATGAAAATTGGATAATGATGAAGGATTTTGTATTTATTTCCGCTCTCATTCATAGTGAGTCTTCACTCTAACAAAAAAGTTCCATTCATTCTAGCAATCGTTGTTGTTAAACTATAAATGGTAAGAAAAATGTGATTGAGCGGAAAATAATTTTAATATTTAATATTTAGTACTATCTTTTTCAGTAAAAATTTACGTTGTGATTCATAATTGCTTTTGATTTCAGCTCTGATCAAGATCATAACTGCAATGATTTGCTGTTAGGTGATGAAATGGATTTCCCCGATTTGTTGGACGATGTCGATGAGGATGCCATTCGTTTGGCTGCTAAACAACCAATAGCATCAGATCGGCTGGAAACAGACTTTTCTAATAAAACATCCATTATAATAAAGCGGAAACACATAAATCGATCAAATCATTCATCAGTATGTTCAAGTCGATCGAAAGGCGGCTACGATTCAATCAAAAAGAATAAGGAACGTGAAGATGGTAGAACGCAGAAACGTCTTATACGATTTTTCCAATCAACTATATGGCCTAATTTAAAATTTTTGGAGTTTTGGAAGAGGGTTCATAGCGCTTTAATTTGTTTGGCTATAATAAGAGTACTATCCCTGGCGCAGTGAAAACAGTTTTATTAAATTATCATATTAGGCTAAAAGGAGAATTTGTTAATCAGTTTGTATCTAACCTTTTTAACTAAAATGAAGTGCCTTCTTTAAAAAAGCTGGGCACCAAGTTAATGAAGTGTGGAGAATTTCACTGTTCGAATTGATGACTCAACGAATTTATCAGTTAGCATGTTTCTAACATGTTTCAGTGGTGCTGACGTTTTTTCAACAACTACTTTCGAAAACTACTTTCTCAAGAAGTCTTACGGGATGTAATTGTTTCCAGTTATTTTATTAACGGATACGGGATTTTTTCTTTATTATCTGCTGGGCATTTATGAAATGGAAGTGCGAAAATTTTTCATTTGATCAAAAAAAAATTCAAGCAGAAATATCCCTCATGCGAAGTGAAGAAATTGGTCAAAAAAGCTTGGATCTGCGAAAGAAAAAAATTTTCAAATTCATATTGAAAAATGGATTATAAAAAATTGGATTGAATGGATTGCGAATCATTACAAAAATGATTCCCAGTTGAAATTAACTAATGTTGCTTTGCCCTCGTTGGATTGGATCAGTGATTTTTGCATTTTCAATTATCAAAGCGATCTGTCAAAGCGAAAAAAAGGTGTAAAGAGTAGAGATTCGAATAACATTGTAATCCAACTTATTCAAAGATTAGATCGGAGAATTTGGTTTTTTGTCGATATTCCGAAATAAGTTTCAATTCAATCACTTTGTCATTTTCGTCTAGCTGGAAATATTTTTATTATCAATGGTTTAGATTCCTTCAGTTCTTTCTGTTTCTTCATCCAAATATTTTTTTTACCTTCAAACTCCATAAGATTCAGCGCAGCTATCTATCTACATTTGGTGAAGAATAATATTTAAATTGTTAAATCTAAGGTTGTTTTCAATACATGCTAAATAATTTTGTTAATTAATATTTATATTGATACATAGTAATTTTTTCTTATAAACTATAATCGTAAAATTATTTAGATATGAAAAATCAATTGAAATTCGGTTCACGAAAAAATGTTCGATGGAGGCAAAATAAAAGATATGTGAAGGATGAAAATTTCCGAAGACCTTGTAAAAATTATTTTGAAAGGCGCTATCCATCGTATCAAGCTTGGTTATTAACGTCGAATAAGAGTTCATGGAGGCATTATCGATCATCAATGAGTGAACATGGTTCGAAAAGAAAGACATTTTTCAAAGATGCTCATTCTTTGGATTCTAAGGCGAAAATAAAGAATGAGGAACGAAAAAAAATAGTTTATTTTCCAAAAAAGGGTCTTTCTTCTTTCAAATATCATTCAGTAAATGCAGAACACAATAGACCACTGCCAGTAGATTGGAAACATTCTTCAATGTTAAAGCGAGAAAATAATGCAGCCAGTCGATATGTTTCATACAAGGATCAAGATAGTGAGAAAAATTTAACAGCTCAATCGAGAGAATTCTCCATGGAACATTTGGTTGATAATGAATTACCACTGCCTGTTCAAAAATCTCTTTCAGTCATTTCTTCATCCAAAGTGAGTTCGCCTAAGCACGATGATAATAGTGTAATCCGAAAATGCCGGTGGACCCTTACAACTGCGAATACATCTAAACCTGTTCAGCTCCATTCTGTATCAGTTATGATCAGATCTGATTCCTCAAGAAGAAGTGAGTTGAAGCATATTTTGATGGAAAAAATTAATTATTTTTTTGGTCTGATGGCCTTTATTTTTTAGTAAATGCGTAATAGTGTAATTTCATTATTTTTTAATTGCCACCTTTTTTCAGCTTATATCCCGATATCATAGGTTTCTTCTGGAACCTTTCCTATTGCCAGTGTAATTTATTATTTCAGAATTATTTGATAGCACAACAAATAATGGACCAAAACAGATCAAATTACGATTGCCTGATTTATCGACCATTGATTCACCGCCTTAGGAGATTTACCAGGCAATATTTTAAGTAAGTTAATTATGTCTGTATCTTATAATTTCTAGGGTTTAACAAAGGATAAGAATGAAAATGAAGGGAATAAATGAGATCGGTCTTTAATGACAATGTCAATTGTAAAGTCAGCTTCACGTCGTTCCTTTATATGGAATTTGTAATATATATATTTATTATAATATATAATATATATAGCTTATATTCCATCAATTTAGCATCAATTCGTAGATTTTTTTCAGGATATTCAGGATATTGTGGAGGTTTAGGATCATTATTACGAAAGACTTATTTATTCCAAATGGGAAAGATTGCTTATAGTGAGTTTCAACCGTCGCCAGCTGAAGATTGTTTATGTGGGCTTGTTGATTTTATGCTTTTAAAGTATTTTAAAATTTTTTATGATCGAATTTGAAAATCAATTGCATTCATCAAATTTTTGATCGTCATGGCATTCATATTTTTTTTCATTCTTACTTTAAAATTTCTTACTGATATTTGGTCAAATAAAATAAGTCGGTTTTAAAGACTTGTCCGTAAACAAAGAGAATTTTGATAAATTGTCTCATAATGGACTGTCCTTTTTATTCATTTATCAATGAATCAGTTTTTTTAAAAATTTCATTACGAAAGTATATCTTTTTGCTTTAAATTTTAATTTTTCAATTTTATTTGTCTTATTTGATTTTCGTTTTTTTTATAGAAATGTATTTTTAAAATTGAATTTTTCTTTTTTTCTTTTTTCTATTTTTATTTTACTTCTTTTAAATTTATATTTATATGTACCCATTTATATGTATCAAATGCATCAATGATTTGAAATTCAATTTATTCATTATATTCGTTTATCGTTTTATTTTCATCTTTTTATCATCTATCAATAAAACAGTTGCTTTTATTTTTTTTTTTCTTGGGCGCAGTGTTCATTCAAAGTTTATTTTATTCAAAGTTTTCTGAAATTTATTTTTTTTATTTTATTATTGCTTCATATAAATTACCTTTTTCGTTAAATTTTTTTGCTATTCTCTTACAATTTGACTAAATTCATATATCAAGTAGCAGATATTTATGGCTGCTAGAGATTTGAAATTTGATGGCTAATTCTTTTAGTATGAAAAGTTAGAGATTTGTCGGTTGTTAAATGTGCTTAAGAATTTAATTTTTTGTGGTAGAAGAAAATATGGCTGGAATAATCAACGAACGTGCTTCAACGAGTTCGGAATTTCCTCCAACTCCAGTTCCAATCATGGTTACATCGCAGATGCGTGGTTTAGCTGACAATTTGTATGATAAAGTTGGAATATTTCTACAAGGACAAATTGAAGGTTTTTTTGTTCATTAAAAAAATTGTGTGATATTGCTTGTTTTATTGTTTTATTTTTTATTCGGCTTTTTAGATAATAAAACCTTTACTTTTAATGATCTTTATTTTTTCAGGAACAATAGCTGAATATAAATTGTTAGAAAATATGAATAATGCCACAATACAACGTTATGATGATATGAAACAAGTTGCCGATGGCATTTCCGAGAAACTCCTACAACTCAATGGAAAATGTTGGTTTCTCATTTTTTCTATTTAAACTTATTTCGCTTATTCCTGGTGTACTGCAGCTAATTTTTATCTACAGTTAACAGCTTTATTAAGAGCTGCTGCTGCTTTTCTAAAATGTAAAAATAAACATTTAAATGGAATCAAAAATTATTTAAGACCAGTTTTATTTGGTTAGTTTTTAAAATTTCAATTTTCAAATTTCAAATGGTACAATATCCAAAATGTTAAAGTTATTTGAAGTTGTTCCAATGGTATTTATGAAATTAATATGCAGATTTTTTAATTTTGGGAAATCACCCATCGCTTTTTCATAAGAAATGAATTGTTCAGTTGGTGACCACTCTTATATCATTTTAAGTTTCTTCAAGTCTTTTAATTTGCCTGAAATTTTGCAAGAATTTTTGGTAGATACGTATGCTATATCGGAAAATTTAAAATACAAGGAGATAATAAATTCGTATGGTAATACATGTTCAGTTAAGAAAATGATTTTTTATTACATTGATGTACTATATCACAAATTTTTTTAATGCGCTCTTAACAAAAATCTTACCTCATATCTCCTAAAACTGTGAAATTTTTGTGAAATAAAATATGTTGAAGTTGGTTGTTTTTTGACGATTTTTTGATCTAGATGAAGCACTTCGTCCATATTTGCAACAAATTGATGAAATTGATGAAAGTACCCGTAAATTGGAAGAAGCAACTAATTTGCTGGAGAATTATGTCTCTCAACTTGGTTAGTTCTTTCTTCATTTGAATTTTTTTGTTTTAACCACTATTTCGTAACTTTGCGCATTTAAGTATATACTGGTGCCTATTTATTATTTATATTTGTATAATTACTGAATTATCGCGAAATGTTTGTCATTTTTTGAAATTTAATTGCTGTCGTATAGAATTCAAATGATACACATTATAACTATTTATATATTGAATTAATATTTATATTATTTTTTTAACATAAAAAAGACTGCATTGGCCATAAGAAACAGCGCAGCTGCTATTTATTTATATTTAGAAAGTAATAATTGGTGATAAATTTTTATCGTTATATCTCTTATGAATAGAAATGGTGCACTTCTATAATTATTTTGTTTTTTTTTTGTTAATACAGAAATCTTTCTCATTTTCAAACTGTTAAATCTTGGTTTGAAAGTCAAATAACTGGGAAATAGAAAATGTTATAAAAAATAAACTTTCTTCCATAGAAAATTTTAATGATTTTTCTTTCAGAAACGAAATTTCGAAATATCCAATCCAGTGAAAGAAATTCGAATCTTTGAAACAGTTTTTTTTTATCAAATTTTTAGGTTCCTAGTATCAGAAATTTAGTTTTTCAATGGTAATACAGATGTTAAAATGTTAGTGTTATTTTTAAATATTAGTAAACGACCATTTCGAAAAAAATTCTTATGAAGTTCTTACAGAAATGAAGTTTTGAGATTTTTTATTCATATCATCATATTCATTCTGATGAAATTTAAAAATCGAAAAGGGGATAATGCGTGGTCGTTATGTCTAATGTATTGTTATAGAATAATAATGGTATTTTTCTATTTTCGGATACTAATGTTTCTAATGTTTTCCAATGAAAAAATTTGTTTTGTGTGGTTCAATTTATTTATTTCTTGTTATTTTATGGTTTTTTCTTGCCTTTTAAATAAATAATTTTATTTCATAGTTTGTTGATAGAAAGAGCAGCAACAGAGAAAATGTGATGTGTGGCAAATTGCTATAAATTTAGTTGATTTCTTTTAATAAATGAATTCTTAAATTTTAGATAATTGGTGATTTTTCATCCATGCAGAATCAATAATTAATTATTTGAATAATCGTTCATATTTTCCGAAAGTGAAATTTCAGTTTTCATTAGTCAATTAAATATTAACAATATTCATTTATATTCAAATATAAAAATATTCAAAATAAAAAAATATTTTTAAATCCATTGGAATCCATTGGCTACTTGGAGCTCTTGTGAAAAGTGGAAGCATCGAAAGATGTTCGAGGATCACTAAACATTTCTTTTTCAAATTTTATTTGTATCCATTATGATGAAGAAAAGACTAATGGTTATTTCATATTTGAAAAAAAAAGGATTATTAGTGAAATAATTGAATTTGAAATCGTTATTTGACGCTTAGAAAATTAGAAAATCCTAAATAATCCAATTATTTATTCCATTTCTAAAAAGAATCAAATTTCTCTAATTCGGATTGGTTTTTTTGACTTTGTATTTGTGGTACTTCAGTAATCAATGAATAATTTATTCGAAATGTCGAATCCTTATTTTTTGCCATTGATTGTTTAATATTTGCGTATTCATTTGTCATCGATAGTGCGATTATTAATTATTGAAAATTTCTTTATTTGTCTAACTACTTTTTTAAAAAGGCTCGATGAAAATGTGAAAAACTAGGTTTGCAGTGTTTTTTCCATATCTTGGTATATTTTTTAATAAGATGCTGAAAAAGTTTTTAATTCCCTGAAAATGGAAATAAAATAATTCATAAACATTTCTATCGGATGGTTTTGGTTTCTGCTATTCTTTTTTTTAAAAAAAAAATTTTTATTTATTCTATAAATAAATTAATTTTTAAATCTATAAATTTTTATTTTGATAGTTGCTGGCGATATTCTAAATTTTGGCTTTCAAGTTTCATGAAACAGATTCCATTTGGTTTCGTCTTTTTTATAATTGGCATATGTTCTATTGTTGTTAATTGTTTCTTTCTTTTGCTATTCTTCAAAATCCTCCATTTTCATTTTCATCTCATTGTAATATTGTTTACACACTGTGCACTTTATTATTATCGTTATTATTCTCATAAATTGTTATGAATTGTTATTATCATTATATCACTGTCGTTGTTCTCGTTATCAAATGTGAAATCATTATTAGTGGATTTGAAAATTCTATTCAAATTTTAAAATTATTAGATTCATTTCATTACATTTTAAATAAAATTCTATTTTCTAATAATCAGCAAATCTGCAACTTTTATGGAATTACATCATTTTCTATATATTTTATACTACAATCTGCAACTTTTATTCTAATAATCTGCAACTTTTATGGAATTATATCATTTTCTATATATTTTATGCTATTTTTTTTAAAGAATGCTGGCCATCCCTAGTTCTGTTGGCTTATTGGACCGAACAAATCTTGCCAAGGCGTCTTGGCGATAGAAGTACAGATGAATGTTTAGCATCACCAAGATATTTCAAAGGTTCACTCTTACCGAGTGTAGAATCCCACTGTCGGCTCCGAAGTGATAGCAGCAATTCATTCTTCCCTTTTGTGTAGCATTAGGCTCAGCGCATTCTTTTTTCGAAAATTATATTTTTTTTAAAATATAATTTTTTAAAAAATCTATTAAAAAATTTTTATTTTCTGAAAATAATTTCAGTATTCAGTTGTTTTTCAATTTATTTATTTCAGTATGTATAGGAAGCAAGGCATAAAGGAATATGTTGGAATTAATGGTAACAAATGGGGTCAGAAAATGAATAGAACAAAAAATAAAAATAAAAGGAAAAAGAAAAAAAAACACAAAGACGATACTAATATCGGGGTTACAAATTTTTTTCTGTAATTATTTTGTGAATAATCTTAAAACTAGAGAAGGATGGAGCAAGAACAACGTCGTGTTTTGATTTTTTCCAGTAGTTATTGCTTCGAACGAAAATATTGTTGGATTTACAAATAGGGTATTGCATAGCTTCATTATTCAAAGTTTAAGTTGAAGTCAATGGTTGGAAGTTTAGATTCTACCTCTTAATGAACTGAGATTACTTCAAGTTCGGAATTGTAAATGGTGAGGGTGCTAGAATTTAAGCGTAGAGAAATACTTTTGTGGATCGTTCGATTAACTTGATTTACTAAATTTAGATGGACAATATACAGTATTATATTCTAAATGTGATTGGATAAATGTTTATATAATTAGGGAAGTTTTTGATTTATACGTAAAAATTTTAAATATCTGCTCTAAATTCTAGAAGATTAATTGATGTTTAGACGACGTACCTACTATTGTAGGTTATATGTTGTAGGTTAAAGCTAAATTTCGCATCATTTAATTTAATAAACCAAATTAAAAAATTGAAAAGTAGCTTGAAAAAAGAGTTATGAGGAGATAACAAGGAAGTTGGAGCCTTTGGCATTGATGTAATTTCACATTTATCTATCGATAATTTAATGTCTTCTCTGGGGTCAGACAACTATATTATTTAAATCTTCTCGAAGGGCACTTTTCGTTTCCAGGCGAAAAATAAAAAAGCTAAGGATCTATATAGCCATATTAAATTACACCAGATTTTACTACAGTAAAGTTGATAAATTTATTCATTTCGAAGTGCTTTTTTTGGCCGAAATTATTTTATTTCTCAACAATTTAAATTTTTTTTATTGGAATTCTTTGGAAACTATTCTTCTTTAAGAAACTGAAGAAATTATCGTTTTTTATTCGATTTCCTCACTGAATATGTCTATTTGTTAGCAAGAGTGATTCGATTTGATTGGATAAGGTGAATCGGGTAGAACTTACCATTTCCGGTTAAGCCCGTCCCACTTGTTGTTAGTATGATGAAAAATTTTTTTCAGAGATTCATTTGGAAACAGAAGTATAATTGGTTCCTCAGCAGCATTCGGATCGGATAAGGAAAAAAGGAAGTGATCATTTCCTTTGTATAAGATGATAAGAAATGAGTGATTATAGTTAATATTTTTTGCTGAATATTATCAATGTTTTTTTCTAACTTGCTAGAAAAATTTGCAACATTTACTGTTCTTTGCAGTATTTATTGTTTTATTAAGCAACTGTTCAATATCATAATGTTTTCGACGATAGCTTCCGATTGTACACATTGCTCGGTCGGGTCATCGTATTTTATGATTTTTGTATATAAATACAATCATTAATCTTAATCGAAGTAATTTTACGACAATTTGCATTTAACATTATGTAATTCGATATATTTCTTTAGTTTCTCAGCAATTTTGATTTCATCAAAAGATCGCTCGAAACGAATCTTTCGCAAATTTTTAAGTTCATTTTGAGCTTATTTGTCTCAATCTTTTCTATATCACTTACTAATTTTTTTATTAAACTCGCTTCATCAGCTATTAAGATGGAATAGACAGTTACTTAGAAATAGAAATGCACGAGAATTTGTAGACTTGATAGATTTTATTCAAGGAACACGGCTCGAGCTATAATGCTTGGCTGGTCTCAAATAAAATTAATACAATTCATTTAAATTGAATTTTTGTAAGTTTTTTTCCAAAGCTGATAAAGACCGTAATTCTAATTAAATCAATTCATATAATTCAATATAATTCAATATAATAATTAAATCAATATAATTCAAAAATTACTAATTTTTTCAATTTTCAATCTTTTTTTGCATATTTTTGAAAATAAAGTGAAAAATCTTTATTATTAAAAATCTCGTTTTTCATTAGTTTTTAACATCTTTTCACTTACAATTTTGGTTTCTTTTTTTTAATCCAAGCTTAATTTTAATGAATTTCTTCCCTGAAAACTATGCAGAATGTTTTATCACTTTTTTTGACGTTTTATTTACATGAATGAATTTATTCGTTTTTCAACGAAATTCTTCTCGCATTTTACTCGCATTAACAAGATTTAATCTATTTACTGAGAATGAAAAAGAAAGAAAAAAAGTTTATTCAGTTCAATTTCTCTTGAATAATTCGTTAGGAAATGATCACATCTACGATCATTTCTTTTCTAAGAATGTTATTGCTGGTTCGACTCATTCCATTGGTCTGTGAGATCAAGCAAATTTTGCCAAGAAGTCACTTGGGGCGATGGAACTACAAATGAGTCGTTAGCCATCTGGATTTTTGAAGGACAAGTTTAAAGCTGCCAGCTGTTGAAGCATAGGCTATTCGGATTGAGCGACAACCCACTGAGCCACCTTATCTCTACTTGTTTTCACCATCCGGTGACACTCGACGAAAGGTAGTGTGTTGGTTGGATTTGAATCATCCAGAGCCATTCTCGATTCGATTTTCGGTGGCATTCACCTTGCTAATCATTTAAGCCAATCATCTGTGATTGCCGAGTGTATTAAGTGAGTGTTTTCTCTTTGCAAAAAATTTTTTTTATTTAATTTTTAAATTAAAATTTTAAAGGCACTCTCATTAAAGACACTCATTATTGGTGTATTAATTCAAATTTTTTTAAAATAAAAATTTACTGCAGAAAAAAATGTTTTGAAACGGATTGACACGTTAAACAAGATAAGATCACAGAAGCCAATCGCTGGTTTGAAAATCCATCGCTTGGTCATTTCCTTTAATAATTTTCAATTTTTCACCAATAAGAGCTTTTTCTTTGTCCTGAGCCAAAATCATTTGTCTCTTTTGCTCCTATAAAACTGCTCGATAATTACTCCTTAATTTTTATGACTAATGAATAATTTTAAAAATGAATTTAGAGAATTCATACTTTTAAGATATATTAAAATTTATAAATGATTAATAAAAAATCAAATTTATTGCAATATAAAGAAAAAAAGGTGATGATATCAACACATAATGTTGAGCATCATGCAATAAAACAAATAATCATCATTTTTGAAAAATGTTCACAGAATAAATATTTTTTAAAATGCTCCACGAAACATTATTTTGAAGCAATATTTTGAACGGAGATTAGGAGTAAGTTTTCTTGTAACTGAACAACCACCAATCACATAATTATATTTTTTTTGCTAAAATCACCACATATGATCTATGTTTGTGCAAAAAATAATTTATCATCTTCAAAATCTAAGAGTTGCTAAATTTGGCAACGTAAAACTTTCTTTTGACTTATATTCTTTGCGATTTCTCACGATTTCACGATAATTTTTTCATATTGAAGAATTTACGATTTTTTTCAATAATGCTTTTATTTCGCTCGTCTCTGAACCGTTGTGGTATAATTTTTTTGGCTTTCCTAGATTAATTGACATTGGCCAAAAGCCAGAAGAATTCGGAAGATTTCTCAATTGACCCAATTTGTCTCCAATTAATGGTTAAAATCCCAATAGTTTCTCATTTTACAAATTACGAAATTTTTTTAAAAGAAGCTTAAAAATTTAATTTAAGAATTGTTTTCTATGTCAAATCAACTGCAAACAAAAAATCGATTCAGTGTTCAATGCTCTAATTTTGGAAAAACTGATTTTATTTAATTTCAATTTTGACTTATACATTTTCGTTATATCAAAATAATGAAAAATCATTTCAAATACGCCAGGCATGAACAAACAAATCGGCAAATCGGCAACGTTGGAATTAATTTAGAAAAGAAAATAGTCATTTTTTCAGAAATTTAGTTGGAAATTTTTCACCATCCGAATAAAAATCGCATCGATTAACAACGGAGCAGCCCGTCTAGACGAAGACGACGACGACGATTGCTTCAACTTATTTCCAAAACATCTGATAAATAAAGAAAAGATTCGATTTGTGATAGGAAAAAAAACCAAAAAAAATCGAAATAAGATAGGAATTTTAATTTCCATCTGATTTTTTAAGATTTAAGATCGTTTATTATCCGCTTGCCTTTTGTAAAATTTTTTTACAAAAAATTTTTTCACTCATACTCGTACGAACTGCTGCAGAACGATGCAGATGAACGAATATCGAAGAAGATAGCTATTCAGCTATTCTTCGCTCATTCGTTCTTTCGTCTCAACCTTCGAAAGTACTTTCGAAATTGAAAAAATCGCATGAAAAAATTTGTGAAAAACATGCTTTAATTTTATATTTAGTACTTAACTGTTTTTTTCCACTTATTACTTTCTTCGTGAATTGAGAAAAAAACTTTGAATCTTCTCAACAAATTTTTTATTGCAGATGCAAAGATCGGTTTGTGCGCTCTTTTACGCTTTTTTTATTTTATAGCAAGAAATTTTCCTTCTTTATTTTTTCTTTTTTCTCTTTTCTATATTGTCTTTTCTCATAAAATATTTGGAAACAATGACTGCAAGCATATAAATATACTTTAAATACAATTTAAAAGATATTTTTCATCCACGTAAATTTCTTTTCTTTTTGTTATATTTACAATTTTGCTTGGCCATATAGGTATTTCGGAAATTTCACCGAAGTTGCATGGTTTGCTGATTGTTGTCATTCATTGCATTCGCTGTACAAATGATTCCACTTCAACTTAAGTTGCCAGATCTTTCCTTTCTTCAAGGTTAACATGAAATTAACTGTGGAAAACAGTTGGTTAATGTTATAGTAGTCAGAGTCGGAGTTATTCTTTTCTTCTTCTTCAACAGCTCGCATCATTTCTGGTTTGATTTCCTCCATTGGCGATTAGGGTAAGACATTTCCTAGCCTCCCGACCCTATATCATTTTCCTGAGCATTTTCCCCTCATCGTATCTGTCCAAATACTAATTCGTTTTTTTTGCTAACCATCGCAGGATTTAGCAAATATATCAAGGTGGTCAATAGGCAAAGGTGTATACTATTATGTCAGATGCTATTACGACGATTCCAAAGAGAATTCATTAAACAAAAGACACTTCTAGTGCAAATATCGGGGCTGGAATTTCGTTCAATTCTCTTGAACATCATCGCTGAAACATAATCTATTAGAACCTTGATGAAATTAGAGGCAAAGTCGATAATACACGTTATAATTGGTTGTGAAAATGCTCCAATATCCTCCTCAGCATGGAAGTTTAGTTAGTACAGCCACGTTCTGGCCTAAAAACTCTGCTTGATTAGGGCGCATTCTCTGCAACACAATAGAGCCAAGAAACTTTTCATGTCCTGCGTAACTAACAAACTCCTTGTCACAGTGCACCCTATCATCTTGCGAATTGGGAGCAGAATTGCCTTGTTCCAATCATATAACATTTGCTCCTTCTACCGCATTAGTGAATATCTTTGCAGGTATGTTGTGAAAGATACTGGACAGCATTCAAAGAACCATTCTCGAACCATTTTTTTCGGGGATTTTACTGGACCTTATTTTGTGAATTAAGGAGATGCTCGGTTGGTTCACTACTGCGATCGTACTTCAAATGGCTCTAAATACGCTCCAGTTATGTCTGGGATGGTTAGTCGTAATTAAGTTTAGGTTCTTTTCATTGAAAGATATGACCTTTGATGACCATAATGAGGTTTCCATCCTTATATCAGATCATTTCACTAACTATTTTTCGAAATACTGTTGCTTTACGAAGTAAACAAAATAATTTTTGATTATCGATTAATTAAACTGTTGTCTCCGTTTTCGAAACCATATTGTTCCAGTGTTTCTCTATGTGAGTCCATGGAGTTGCCGATAGCATTCTAGCATTTCCTGGCACTCTCGTTTCGGCAGTCCAGTCAGACAAATTGACTGCTTCGCCTAGCTTGTATTTTTTCGAGTCGTGTATCAAATGGCAGACTGGGAATAGAATGGCTCAGTGGCTTGTTGCTTATTCGGAGCGCCGATGGTGAGGTTCTATTCCCCGCAGGAGTGAAGTTATTCAAAAACCCGGATGATGCTGGTGACTCATCCGTACTTTTATTTTTTAAAGGGATTCTCTGGTATATTTGTCCAATGTGACAGAGCGAGCTTAACCAGTAATGATGAGGACTCTTAAAAAAAAATCATATTGCAAATACTAATCTTATTTAGCTGACTCCTGAACGAAAGTCTTCAACTGGGACCAACATTCTTCGACAGCTCCAAAATAACATAGATTGTTTATGTTGCGAAAGTCGAAGTGCTTCAGCAGCTTCGCTTGAAATGTCCCTAAATCTTTTAATTTCTATAAGAAGAACACTCCATTGATAGCTTTATTCGTATCTCGGCTATAATCATACGTGGTCATGTACAGAGTGCCTACCAGTTTCAGATCTGTGATATGCTACCTAGTAAAAATTCGTCCACTGATAAAATATAATGAATTTGAATACTGCCTGTTGAGTTCCATGCAACTCCATGCACTTATCTTTTGCAATGCTGAAGACATGTGTTGTTGGCAAAAAATTCATACTTCTCAGCCCAACGAAAAAGGCGATCACTGGGTCTACCATATCCTCTAGCAGGAAAACATAAAGCCTCACATCTTATGAGTGCACATTACAATCTTTTGCGACCATGATTACATCGTTCTTTGGCCATTAGCAAATTATATATAGAATATACGTTTATCCAGACTACATAAACACTACATATGATTAAGGTATTATAATACTTGTCTTTATAAGATGAAATTCTGCTGTCCCATTAAGATATAGTAAAAAGCCTGGAGTTAGAAAAATGGATATCTTAGCTTGATATGTATAGAAAAATGAAATCGAATTTTCTCAGAAATTATGGCATTTTGGAACCAATAAATCAGACCACGAACATTTATCGATAATTTTACTATATACTGTAAACAAATGAATCCCTTGATCATTTGATCGGAATTATTGTCGTAAAGAGCTTTATTTTGAGCAGTTAGCCTAGTTTCTTTCATATAAATAACGCATCTCAACGATAAATATAAAATTTAAAAACTAAAAAAGAATTTGGCTTTATTAGGTCATTTTAATCATCTAGACCAACATTTTAAAAATCCGAAAGAGTTGATCGAAAACAATGCTTAAAAATCAGGACAGAGGGAATGAATCGAACCATAAAATCAAGGAACGCAATTGATCGTTTTCATTTTTCATCAATATTGGTGTTTTGTTCAAAAAAATAGCAACAACAATTTGAAATGCAAATTCGACCGAGTTTCACAAAAATTAAAATTTTCAATGCGTTTCATATCAATCATTCAATGAAGCGTAAGAAATATTCAGTCCTTATTTTTTAAAATATATAATTGGGTTAAAATTCGTTCTTACTGTTTAATCAATCATTTCACTACTTCGTTCCACCCTAAGAAGTTTTTAAAATTTTATAAATTTCAATCTCTTCCAATTTATGATTTTTTAAACTATTTTTCAAGAATTTACAGAAAAGAAAGAAAAAATAAAATCAAATATTTCAAATAAAAAAGTGCAAAGTAAAAAAAGTAAAAAACAACGAATTTGTTATGAACAATAGAAGTTAGACCATTCTTGAAAATCTGATAAAGATGAGAAAAATGAGGCACAACGTGGTCGACTAGTGTTATTTCGATTAAGAGCGAGCACTACAAGTTTGGTTCCTTTCAGATGATAATAATCTACCTCTATTTCCATCTCAACTCGACTTCCAATACATCCTAATAATGAGTGGAGTAAACCAAACCATGATGGGCGATGAGTGCTGTTAACAAGAAGACTGGAAATATAATTTCCCATTCTACTATGAAAATTTTTAAAATTTAATAATATAGCGAATAATCGCTGCAAACTAACAAATGTATGAAACTCGCAGATTGAATAAAAAGTTAAAGTTATCATTAAAACAAATTGCAGCAATCGATGTGATTAGTTTTTTTTCCATTATAAATGTTAAAAAAAATTGCCGATGCGATCTCCGTTATGAGTTCCAATTCATTCTTTACTATCTTTTTAATAATTCAGTTGAAATTGAATTATTTTTATTTTACTTTTATCTGGTAAAAATTTTATCAGCCACAACAATATTTTTATGGCAAATTTTAATTTATTTTGCTTTTTTCAGTTTATTTTATTTTATAGTTTTATTATAGATGTTTATGATATTTGCAAAGAATTTATGATTGTTATTATTTATTACTGTATTAAGTTTTCTTGGCTTGAACTTGGCTAGCTGACTATAAATTTTGCTTTCTTCAATTTGACATTTTTTTGATCTTTTGATTTGATTTTAGATTTTTTTCAAATATTACGAAATAATTTTTGTTAATAGAAGCTAATTTTATCAATAAAATTAATTAATTAGTATTAAGTCATCGGTTTTCAGTTTTCTAATAAATTGCAATAATATCAATTGCGCGACAAGGCCAAGCCTTGTATCTTCTTGATCCACTTTGTTGCTCATTTTTCACTGATAAATATTTTTGAGTTATTACTTTTTTCATAGAATTTCTTTCAAATGATTTCGAGCGAAAAATTTGTTTCAAATGGGATTATTTATTTGCCCATACACACCACATTACGAATTATATATTCCACAAAGTCGAATTCAATAATACAAAGTAGCTGTTTCCAAAATTTAAACCTTTTGATTTTGAAGTCGATTTTGATATCTCTTCTCTTTTTTTGAACCTTCCGTATTTATGCTATCTATGCTATTTGTTCGATAATTTTCTAAATTCTCTTTTTATCATTTCTAAATTTCCTTAAAGTTTCCTAAATTTCTAAATAGTTTCTATCAATTCCTAAATAAATAATAAATTGATTATTGCAAAATTTTAACCGTAGTTTAAATAAAAATATATTTTTGCACAAAATTATTTTCTTAAAAAAGTACTGCACGATATTGTATATTTTGGCGATTATTAGAGTTCCAATTTCATTTTTGTGGCATTTGTTAGCTATTCAGCTTCGAAATTACGAAAAAGGTTTTATAAATCCGATATTTATAATATTTTAGTATGACACAAATAATTAATCGACCTTCCTGGCTCATCATGAAAATATGACTATACCAATCGACGTCAAAAAACACGACGGAGTTAGATGTAATAAATTCGGTTGAAGAAAGTTTTATAACAAATCTTAGTAATTGAAAATTAATCTGAAGATAACCATAACCATAGCGAAATTACCAATATGTTGCAATTTTTAGCAAATTAGTAAAAGGAACCAAAGTGGCAAACGTTTATTCTCGATGTCATCACGTCAAGTATCATAGTTTCGATTCCTAGCCTCTTGACAGGAGTAAATATTCATAAAATAAATTACCTCCATCTGGGCGAATTAGGAATATCTATTCATACAAGTTTGCTTTGTTCAATAAAAGATTCTTGCATTTTTATATATCACTGAAATTTTTCATAGCATAGAAAAGTATGATTTTTTATATTAATTTAATGTCGGCAGCCTTGAATAAATTTCATAGCTAAAAATTATTTATATATTATACGGTTTCATTTTGCAGACAATAAATTAGTAGCAATTTAGTAAAAGTTGATGCATAATTCATTTTATAAATTGTCAGCAACTTTGTCCTCCTCTGCCCATATTTATTTCGCTCAATTTTTCAACTTTTTTTATTTTTTTGCGATTTTGCCATTAAATTTTGCGGTTCTTTAAAACAGTTCAGCAGCTATTCGATTAATCTTGTTTTTAAATCCTTATAATTCATTCCACCATGGTTCGCAGTGTTAAGCGTAGTTGACAACTTGACACACTTTCTGCAAAAAGCAGCATATCAGAATCGCAAAAAGTTTTATTCCACTAAAATTGAATTAAATTAAAGCATATGACCTTTGTCATGCAATGATCTTTATCGTCGAGTTATAATCTAGGATTTGTAATCTTATGGCCTTCACCACTCATTTTCAGTTGAATTAGTAAAGAAATAAGAAATACAAATATGAAAAATATTTTACATTTTATCCGCAAAATTAAATATATCATATAATATTCTTAATTTTGCCAACAGTTTACCATTAATCCATTCCAAATTGAGCGAAATAAATACGAAATTCTTAGATGAACCACCATAGGCCAGTAATCGACAGATGACATGAAACAGATCAATTGTTTCACTTCACCGTTCTTTGAATTTCTATCTTCATATTTTGATTGCAGAAATCAATACAGTTAAAAAATTTTAAAATAGGATTCACTTGACGATAGAATTTCAACTAGGTCCCCAATATCACTTAGAATTTCTTGAAATTTTTTAAAGCGTTGCTTCTGTTACAATCATGAAGTTGGACTTAAAATTTTCAAAAAAAACTATATAAAGGTTTTAAATCTATTTTAACTAATGTTTGATATTTGATCAAATGAATGGATTAATTATGAAATAATTTTTCAGTGAGATTGAATCATATGATTTGCACATATTTTTATTCAATTTGTTTATTTATATTATTCATTAAAAAATAATCATTTAAACTGCAAATGTTTTATTTATTTACTTTATTTATTTAATTTATATTTAACTATATAAATATAAATTTATATAAATTAAATATAAAAATATTTAAAAATATACAAATTTAAATAATGATTTTATTTTTCTATTTTTATATTATTTTAAACTACTTTTATTTTTTAATTCCTAAAATTTAGGAATTTGGAGAAAGCTGATTAATTAGTCAATATTATTTTGCGAATTTATCTCAAAAAGAAGAATATTTTAACTAGTTTTTATAAGAAATTCATTCATTCACTCTTCAAGTCGCACACTTACTAATCTTTACTAAATTTCTCCTAATTTGCCGAATTATGGTGCTTACTTATTATGGAAACAATTGAGAAATTTCGTTAATGGAAAACGAACGAACTTCATTCGCATCAAATCGTCAAGTCTTCAACTTTTTTTTTCGTCTAATTGAATTGTTCTAATATTTTACTTTTACAATTAGTCAGCTAAAGCTATTTGTCTAAAGCAAAAGCAAATACTATGAATTTCATAGTTAATTGTACTCTTAATTTTCCACACATTTGTCGCTTTACCGTAAATCTTTTAAAAATCCTATATAAAATTTAAATTCAAAAATTTTATTTTAAAAAATTCCATAGTTTAATGATTAATAAGTATTTTGAGTATATATGCGCATAATTTTTAATTAATGTTAATCTCAACAACAACAAATAAATCGATTTTGTTGACCTAATTTTTGACTAAAAATTTTTGTATAACTTAGTGCTTGCGGATAAGGATAGTTGAGTGCTAGTTGTTCAGACTTTCAAGTACCGAGCTTTTTGATCAGAGCCTCAGACAGGATTTAAACTTATCATTAAAAGCCTGGGCGGTGCTGCCGACCTGTCTGTACTTCTGTTTCCAAGGGACTCTGGCAAAAATCTCTCATCACACTAATAGCTATCGCATCGAATCTAACCAGCTATAATGGGTGTTAAGTGCTGACTTGATTTATAATTTGCTGTTGTGGAATAGTTCAAGTTTTTTTTAAAGCAGATTTTAGAGTTTTTTATATGTCGTTTTACTGTATATTCAAATAACGATTTTGCAGCGATTTAAAACTAAAATTGAGTCTCCACTGTTCTGATGCGTGAAGTATGATTATAAAGCGGCGATCCACGATAAGGTAACAATTTCTCTCGAAATTCGTATATTTAACTTATCGCTTGCAATTTATCAAGAAAGAAAGACAAAATTCCCCTCGAAAAACTGAAAAAAAAATACTTTGCTTTTTTGCCGTCATTTGCTTGTTTATTTGCTTTTCTATCTATTTATTCGTTTATTTTTATAATCCGGTTTGACAGATTTTATCGTGAATCGGTAGCAAGTGAAATTTAACTTAAACTTTTTGCAGCCAAATTGAAATAATCTCGTTCTTTCTATTTCTGATTTCTGTGTCAACAGAAATATTCGCGGGATATTCGCTGGATCATGCATCGCACATAATTTTGGATATATTTCTGAGAAGCCTTTCTTTTGATTAATAATGCTCTCTGTTCCTTCTAGAAATTATTATAAAAAATCCCTTATAGCTTTTTAATTAAACATTTTGATTTCATTTTGTATCTTATATTTAGAAACTTTTAGAAAGTCAGCCATATATATTTTCAACAATGTGTTCTGTTTCATTCTATTTATTTATGGTTCGGTGTATATTTTTAAAGAACCAAAACAAACATCAGACATGCTGACCTTTTTTCCGTGTCAGAGAGAGGTCAAATATGTCTGCCAAAAAATCGATTTACTTTTTTCTAAGACGTAAGGTTCATGCAATAGCAACTGCAGCTACAATTTCTACTTAGAATGATGATTTTACTTTTTTGTTTTGCTGACTATACGGTACGTCGCATAAAATTTTTGCCTCACGATTAACGAAAGTTCCACAGAGAAGGCAAGAAAGGCTCTCTATTTATGTAATTATTCGACGACGATAGAAGTTTTTTTGGTATTTTTTATATTAATTTCAAATTATATGCTTCCTTTTCATTCCTTCGAAGTCTATTGAAGCTGAAATAACGGCAATCATGTGGCATGACCGTGGCAATGGTCATTGCCTTATTGATGCCCGATGACCATCAGTTAATATTGTGGACTCGGGGGTCAATACTTGATTAACGATTTTGTCTTTATAATTGGTCTTATTTGCATTTTTCAACTGCGTATGACCTTTTTCACTTAATTATTTGCAACTATCAAACAACAAAACATACCTATTAGTTGGTTAATGAAAATTTATTTGTCATCAAATATTACTTTATAGCTTCTATAATAATAA